GTAAGATTTTTGTTGTTGATGATTTCAGTCTTTTCTCCAGCTGTCATGAAGTTACCTTTCGGTCCAGTGGTGAGGATTTTTGTTTTCTTGACATTGAGATACAGTCCATACCGAAGGCTAGCTTCCGTTTTTGAACTTCTACAGGCTACCAGAGCTAAGCAAAGATGAGTCTTGTACCAGAATGACCAGTTAATTGTGGCTTGGGTTCTATTGGACAGCTGTTGCCCATCTGAGGCCTTTCTCCTAGTGGGCACTTGTCCCTTAGAGGACACCTTGTAGGAAATGTGACTTATGTTTTCTTTGGGAACCAGTTAATTCCTTGGGTGGGTCTTTGGTCATAAGGTTAAGTCTGTAGGAAACTCTGCTTGTTTGGAAATAAGATATCCACAGGTCATACAGTTCATGAAATAACACCTTTTATTCTCACAAGGGATACCTGTTTCTTGTGAGGAAATGAGGAACAATTTATTAAGCAAAACAGGAACCCAGGTTAAGTTGCCTGGCTGTTAATTGAATGATGGGCAATGGCAGCTCATGTGAAGTTCCCACCCATGGGCAGCTCTGGAGGAGAAAGCTGTAGCTCTGTTTCCAGAAGGATTTCCAGCCGTGGAAGGCCTCTGGGGAAGTCCTGCTCTGTCCTGGAGGGTTTCAGTGAGTCAGAATCGACTCAGTGACAATGGGTCTCACTTTTCATTTGTTGAAATTAAAGACCCTGTTTTGGGAAGAGGTTACAGAGGGGTACTTTTCTAGGAGTAGTGCTTGGCTTTAGTTACGTGGCCTTAACAGAAAAAAGATGTCTTTTGTAGAGACCTTCAGAGTAATGTCCCTGTTAGGTATCTTGTATATGAACATGTACACTCCTTTTCAATTTTAAAAAAAATATTCATTAATTGATGCATTTTCCTTCCTCCCTTTCCCTTCTGCCTCTCCTAGTCCACTTTGCAATGCATCTCTCATTCCAGATTGTTGTCATACATATACAATGTCTAATTGCACTGGGAAAGCCTGCTGTCAGGAACCTCTTCAAAATACTGAAGAGCAATGATGTCAGTCTGGAGACTAAGGTGCACCTGATCTGGGCCTTAGTCTTTGCAATTACTTGCTATGCATCAGAGAGCTGGACAATGACTTGTGATGATAGTAGGAGAATTGATGCCTTTGAGTTGTGGTGTTGGAGAAGAGTATGGAATATACCATAGACTTCTAAGAGAATAGACAGGTTCGTCCTAGAGAGGGTGAGACCAGGATGCTTCTTGGAAGCAAGGATTTTGAAGCTTTGTCTGACATACTTTGGACATGTTGCAAGGAGGGACCAGTCCTTGGAGAGGAACATCATGCTTGGGAAGGTAGAGGGACAGTGCAGGAGAGGAAGACCCCCGATGAGAAGGATTGATTCAGTGAGTGGGGTAATGGGGGTAGATGAATCAGAGACAGTGCGATTGGCACAGGATAGAGCAGGGTTTAGGGCTGTTGTACATGGGGTCACTATGAGTCGCAGGCGACTCGACGGCACATAACAACAACCACATATTTCTTTTAAACAGTTTTTTCCTTCATCTGTTCCAATGCAGTGTTTATTATCTATCCACTCTTTTCATGTTCTCCCACTAAACCCCTATGTCAGTTCTATTTTATAACAGCAGTGTTACACTTTATTTATCCTTTTGTAACAGATATTTCACTCCGCATAATACCCTCTAGAGTCACTGGTGTAGTGTATTATTTTATGAGCCCATTGTTTTCCATTGTGTAAATGTACCATAGTTTTTCTGTCCATTAGTTTATTGATGGACATTTGACTCGCTTCATCTTTTTGCTATTGTGATTAACACAGCAAAAAAACATGGGTGTGCAGGCATCTGTTTGATCCACAGATCTGGTTTCTATAGGGTATATTCCCAGCATTGGAATTGCTGGGTCAGATGACATTTCTATTTCCAACTTGTTGAGAAAGCGCCAGATTGCCTTCCATAGTGGTTGTACCATTTTACACTCCAACAAACAGTGAATATGCATTCCAGTCTTTCCACAACCTTGCCAGCATTTTCTGTTTGCTGCCCTGTTGAACTTTGCCACTTTTTCTGGGGTGAGATGATGTCTCGTAATTGTTTTGATTTGCATCTCTCTGATAGCTAGGGATTTTGAACATTTTTACATATGTTGCTGTCTGAATGTCTTCTTTGGTGAGAAGTTGAACTCCTTTTAGGAACATGGTGCAGAGACTTGGAAGGAGGTGGGAGGGAACTTGTTGGGAATTCTGAAAGGTCTGTGGAGCAGGCTTCATGGCTTCCCTTGGTTCTTTCTGCAGTTGGATGTGGAGACTTTTCTCATGGCCACGTGCCATTCATCTTTTCGAATGTGAACTAGAAAGCGATTTTGGAGGATTTCAATCCATGGAGGTGTAGGCTCTGTCTCGGGGTGGTCCCGTGGTGGAATCCTTCTGTGCACCGAGGAAGTCTGTTTCTCCTGCCTCCCCACTATGGCTAGCTTTCTTTAAGCCCTGAAGGAGAAGGGGCGAGGCTGTTACACAACTCCAGCTTAATCTCCAGCACTTACAGGCCCTTAACCAATCAAGACACGTTGCTTGAGAAAACATTCACGCTCTCACATGGTCACATGTGACTCGGATCAAGAAGAAAGACGCTCCCCTGGCACTGACTGGAGAATGGAGAGCCGCCTGTGCTCTCGGTCGTGGGGTCCACCTGGCGGTGTAGCGTGTCCTTCCCCATGTGGCACAAACAGACCCAAGAAGGACCAGTCTTCCAGAGGAGAGAGGGGAAGGTCATGGTACCTGTCCTGCCCGAGGGAGGCCTCCATTCTAATAGGATGAGCCCCAGGTCCTGGGTACCCGGTGGGGCCCCGTGGACAAGCTGATTTCATCTTCTCTACATCCTTGTCCCCAGTGAGCCACCCTCATGGTGCAGTGGTTAAAACTCTTGCCTGTAATCCTTGAGGTCGGCACTTTGAGCCCAGCAGCGGATCCACCTGAGAAGGATGAGACCATCAGCTCCTTTCACGACTGGAAACCCCACGGGCAGTTCTGCTCTGCTCTGCAGGGTCTGTGAGTCGATTCAGGTGGACGGCAGTGGGTGTGATACTGGTGGGTCCTTCCGTTGGCTGAATAGCCTGAAATTCTGTTGACTCTGGCTATCCTGAAATCCAGCACGTCTCCGTGGAAATGTATTAAATCCCTGAGAGGCCGTGGTGACCCCTTCCTAAGACCTTGAGGCACTGGGAACCCAGGATGCTTCGCTTCTGATTCTTGAAAGACAAGGGACATCTGGTCAGCAAGACCTGGCTTGTCCTGATCCTCATGGATGTCCTAGGTGATGGGGACAGCATTTTCCTCAGGGAACTGTCACAGAGAGATCTGTGAAAGGATCAGGCAGGGCCTCTGACGGGTGGCTGGGATGGGAGGAGGGGGGGTTCTGAAAGACCCTCAGGGTGAAAGGCTGGAGCAGCTCCTTTTCTGAAGTTAGTGGGTTCCAGCCCTCTCCTGGGCAGTCCCGTCTGTGAATCAGGGAAGTCTTGGTGAGTTTGTTGTTGTTGTTAGGTGATGCTAGTAGAGGGTGACTTTTAGTGACCCTTTGAACAACAGACCTGAACCCTGTCCTGTCCTGCGCCACACTCAGTCTCTGACAGTCTCGAGCCCATTGCTGCCACTGTCAGTTCACGTGGTTGAGAGTCTTCCTCTCTTTCGCCGATTGTCCGCCTTCCCAAGCATGAAGTCCCTCTCCAGTGAATAGCCTAGTACCACGCCCAAAGCATGTGAGAGGAAGCTTTATCATCCTTGCCCCACAGAGCACTGGTATACAGTTTAGATCAAGAAAAATGCTTGATGCTTAATCCCAGATCATCAGATTATAAAGACTCGGTGGTAGTGGTGGTGGCTGCCAGTTGCTATCAGGTCACCTCCACCTCACAGGGAGCCTGTGTACAACAGAACGCAACACTGCCGGTCAGTCCTGTGCCCTCCTCGCCTCACGGTCACTGCTGTGTTCAAGCCCTTTGTTGCTGTCTCTGTGTCCGGCCATCTCACCGAATTCTCCCTCTGTGTTATTGACCAAGCGTGATGCCCTTCTTGGCAGCATCTCTTTAATCTTTTTTCCTTTTTAATTTCACAGGCAGTGTAATAAAAATACTGAAGGACCTCATTGAAAAGGAAATTCAAAGGGAGCTCTGGTGGCCTAGTGGCAGGAAGCTGCACTGCAATCCCAGAGGTGCACGGTTCAAATCCACCAGATGCTCTGCTGGAGAAGGAGGGACGGTCTCCTCCTGTACCAGTCAGATCTGATTTGATGGTTTTTGTTGTTGTTAGCTGCCATCGAGTCGTAGACGACTAATAGTAACCCTATGAATGAAAGACCTGAGCACTGTTCATAGAGTTTCCGGAGGCAAGGCATTTCGGAAGTAGATGCTACTCCCGCTTCCAAGCTTGTTTTAATCTGGGAGCTCCACCAAACACTGTCCACCATGGGTAACCATTATCACATTTGACACATCAGTGTCACAGTGTTTAGCATCAGAGCAACCACGAGTTACCTCTGTACAGCAATGCACAGACCAGTGCTATACCACCTAGAAGAATGTTTGACAGAAAAACAATTTGAACCAGGCAACACGCAAATAATAAAATAAAAAAAAATTAAAAAGAAAAGCAAATTCCCTCTAATCCCCGCCATCAGAACATGTAATAGATCTTATTTTTCCAGGGACTTTAAACATGTTGTTGTGTGCCATCAAGTCAGAATTGACTCGTAGCTGACCCTCTAGTGGGCTTTCAGAGGCAGTAAATTGTAAAGGAGGAGATTATTTGTCTCCTAAGGAGTGGCTCATGGATTCAAACCGAGTGCCTTTGGGTTGTCCGTGCGGCTTCTTACCGCTAGACCACCAGCACTCTCTAATGATTTCACAGCTAAGATTTAATACCTGTCAGGTCATCGGGTGATTTGCTAGGACTGGAAAGGCCTCACCTTCTCTTTCTCCTTGTGTTTCTGTAGGAGGTCCTGCAGCAGCTGATTGTGATGAATCTGCCCAATGTTCTGGTGATCGGCAAAGACCCGCTGTCCGGTGAGTGAGAACCCCATCCTGGGTATCCCGGGACCTGGACAATGCCCCGGGCTGCTGTTGGCCACGGAGCCCTGGCTGCCAGCTTGGAGCCAGTGTGCATGAGATCAGGATAGTGAGATTATTGGGACAGGTGATCTTACTCCCTGGAGCTCCAAGTCGAGGGCTTGTTTCCTCCAGAAGAATCAATCTTTCTGCCCCAGGCGATATTAGAGCATGGCATCTATTGGCAGAGGAAGTGGTGCCATCTGCCGCCGCTGGGTCGCTTTGTTCTTGCTCTGGTGGGTGTCTGTGGGGTGGGCTGATGGGGTCCGTTACCTGCTGAACTTACACGGCAGTGGACACCTCCTGTTGTGTCCTGGTACGGCGCTCACGGTCTGTGGGATAGATGCTCATGGTTCTGAGAGACAGGGTGACTCTGGCTGAGACCTCTTGTTTTGGTCAAGAACTTGGCCTGGAATCTTTGGTTTGAGATGAGGAGTAAATCCCGGCAGTGCGGTGGTTATGCACTTGACTACTAATGAACAGGTCAGGGGTTTGAACCCACTAGCTGGTCCAAGGAAGAAACTTTGTGTTTGATTAAACCTTGGAATCCCTTTGGGGCAGTTCTGCTCTGTCCTGTAGGGTCTCTGTCAGTCACACAGTTCATTGGCAGTGGGTTTGCTTGTTTGGTTTTGCATAAGTGACAGGAGGACCGTGGGTCCCAGGGGGTGATGGTTTATAGAGGGGGCTGCAGTGTCCTTATGGTGGTGAGTCCTCCCTCTCACCTCATTGGAGCCTGGCCGCCCTTTTCCTGCCCTCGTAACAGTAGCTGAAGTCACCGTGTCTGGAGGCAAAGGGCTTGGAGTGTGCCAGGGACATTACGCACGGAGGAGCAGCCCTTTTTGGAGCCAGGACCCCGAGGGTGGCCTGTCCAGCTGGGGCTGCGAGCTAAATCACTGCACATAACAGAGGCTCCTTCCTTGCTGGGCCCCAGTTGGCTGGTGCCCCAACTTATCTCAGTAGGAGCCCCTCTCATTCTTCAGTGTGGCTGGGCCCCTCACTCACATGGCCCTCTCTGTTGGTGGCTGCAGAGTTCCTGCGGGGCCACCTGGCTGCCTCCTGCAGAGACACCTGTCACATGGCTCATTAGTGACAGGAATCCCTGGCACTCCTCCTGGCCAGCTCTGTCTTGGTGCCATTTGCTTTTTGGCTTCTTTGCAAAAGTTTCCCAGAGAGAGAGAGAGAGAGAAGAGGAGGTGACCGAATGCAGCTGAGCCACAGCCAGGCCAAGGGGGCCCCGGGCTCAGGAAAGCGGGGATGGCCGTGTCCCTGTCTTGGCTGATCCAGGTGTGATGCTCCCTGGAAGACAGGAGAGATACCTGCAGAGGTGTGTGGCTCCAGGGCCAGAAAGACGTGGTCTGTCAGAAGCAGAAGGGCTGAGAGAAGGACACTCCTCCTGGGCTCTGGGTGAGCCCACCAGCCCTACCTGTGATGTGTCAGAAATGAAAATGAGGCAGTTTGGGTGTTGCTGTAGCCAGCCTGTTTCTGGGTAAGAAAACGGATGCTCTTTATGTGTTTGTTGCTATCTGAATGTCTTCTTTGGTGAAGTGTCTGTTCATATCTTGTGCCCAGTTTTCAGTTGGATTGTTTATCTTGTTGTGGTGCTCGAATATTTTATAAATTTTAGCTATAAGTCCCTTATCTGACATGTCATTACCATCTCAGTGCCCGTCAACAAACGAATAGATAGAGAAGCTTTGGGATATTCACACAATGGAATACTACGCTGCATTGAAAACCAAGGAACTCGTGCAATATTATTCAAAATGGGTGACCCTGGAGGACATTGTGCTGAGGGAAGTATCTCAGTCACAAAACGACAAATCCTGTGTAGTGCCATTGTTGTAAAATGGGACTGACATTGGGGTTGCGGAGGGGGGGAGACTGAGAAAGAGGGGATAAATAATGTATACTGCTTTGAAACAGATGAGGGAAAGAACTGTTTAAAAGGGATATGTGATTAGGCATTATTGTCCTGACAGGAGTCCAGAACGAAGGCTGCATCATGGGGTGGACTTGGGGGGAGGGATTGTAGAACAATGAAAGAATTTTTCTTTTACTTTTCAAAGAGAGGAGCAAACTGGGGAGGGGGGAGGGGCAGGGAGAAAAGTGCAGCAGTGAATGAATGGAAATCTAAAGTCTCTGTAAATTTTCATTAAAATTAATAATAAAAATAAAGAAAGGAAAAAAAAAAAACTGATGCTCACGGGGACAGTGTAACCTGCCCTTGACTAGATCACTCAGAGGAACCTGGCTGACCTGTATCCCATGCCAGCGCCAGGTCCAGCCATATGCAGCTGCCAATACCTGGCCTGTAAAAAAGCTGTTTTGTACAGTTCACCTGATAGTAAACGCATCTCCCTTCCTCAGAACACGCACACACCTACCATTTCCTCAGCCTAGCTTCCCGCCTACCTGCTGTTCAGCCCCGCTAACCTGCCCAGCAGGTATCCTTCCTTTCCGGAACCTTCTGAAAATCTCTCTGTCTTTCACCACAAGGCATTCTTCCCTCACCGTAATCCAGGCTCCGGGTTTTCTCTTACCCATGCCTCCAGCCTACCACTTCCTGGCATTCTACTCCAGGCTTTCACCCTACCTACCCTCCCAGCTTTGTACTTTAACAGTCTTGGCCCAACATTTCATCCACCTGTGCCCCCCTCTGTTGGCTCCCTGGAATCCTGCTCCAGGCTCTCCCCTGCTCTTGCCCCAGGCCTCCCCGGAGTACGTCAGGGGCAGCCCCTCTGCCAGTGGAGGAAAGGCTGCTGGGTACACAACACCCCCTCCCCAGAGGTCCTGGCACTGAGGCCTTCAAGGACTTGTGGATGCTGGTTTTATAACAGCTCTCTGAACGTATAATTTACATACCATAAAACTCACTCCCCTTTAATGTGCGGTTCAGTGATTTTTTTTTTTTTAAATTCTGTAAAGGTACAAAGAGTTGCTCAACCTTCTGCTCAGCCAAGTTTCAGAATGTTTAAGGAGAACTGATTTTAAACCAGCAGATGAATCCTGTTCTCCCAGCCCCCGCATGCTAATCAGCACACCAGATTTTTAAGCTAGAAATCACGTCTTATCAGTATACTTTTAAATTTTCTTAATGATTTCTTTTTTATTTGAGTGAAAGTTTATAAATTACACAGATGTTTAATGTAGTCATTCACGGACATTTTGTTCTGTAATGTTTTGTTAACTATTGTTGATTAATTTATTACAATCTCTTATGAACTATTCTTTCCCTTTTTTCTAACTTAACAATTAATTTTTATTCCTCCATTCTAATCACTGTTAATCTTCCAAGATTGATCCTATCTGCCTACAAACGTACCTTTGTAATTGTTACATGCCGTCAAGTCAGTTGTGACTCAGAGACCCTAGGCATAATAAGCAATGAGCCCTGCTCTATCCTGAGCCAATCTCGCTGTCTCCAACACACCTACCCCCGTTCCCCCAGTCACCGAGTCACTCTGTCTCATCCAGGGTCTTCCTTTCCTGTGCTGTCTGTCCCTCCACCTTTCCAAGCACGCTGTTCTTGTGCAAAGACTGGTCCCTCCTGACAACATGCTCCAAAGTAGGTTAGACAGTTTCAAAATCCTTGCCTCCAAGCAGCAACTTAGTTTCACCTTCTCTAGGACAGACCTGTTCATTCTCTTGAAAGTCCATGGTGTGTACAATGCTCTTCTCCAGCACCAGAACTCAAAGGCATCGATTCTTCTTCTGCCATCCTTAGTCATTGTCCAGCTCTCACATGCACAGCAGGTAATTATGAAGACTACGGCATGGATCAGGCTCACCTTAGTCTCCAAACTGACATCGTTTCTCTTTAGCATCTCAGGAGGTCTCTGACAGAAGATTTTTCCAATGCAGTTTGGTTTTTGATTTCCTAACTGATGGTACCAACTTTTCCTTTTTGTTACATGCCCTCAGATCACTTGGAACTCAGCAACCCTATGTACAACAGCCCTAAACCCTGCTCTGTCCTGAGCTAATCTTATTGTCTCTGATACACCCATCCCCATTACCCCAGTCACTGAGTCACTCCATCTCATCGAGGGTTTTCCCCTCCTGCACTGTCCCTCCACCCTCCCAAGCATGATGTCCCTCACTCTCCAAGGACTGGTCCCTCCTTGCAACATGCCCAGAATATGTTAGTTTTTTATAGTAGTGGTCTTTGTGGTCACTAATTGTCCTTCTGTGAATTTCTTGTTGTTGTTATGTACCGTCAAGTCGTTGGCGACTCATAGTGACCCTATGAACGAAAGCCCTCAACAGTTGCGTGACTTCCATTCTTTCTCCAGGTTCATAGGGTTTCCAGAGGCAAGCTATTTATGGAAGTGGATGCCAGTCCTGCTTCCAGGCTTGTTTTAATCGGGGAGCTCCACCAAACACTGTCCACCATGGGTAACCATTATCGCATTTGACACATCATTGTCACAGTGTTTAGCTTCACAGCGACCACAGGTTACCTCTGTACAGCAAGAGGACACATCAGGGCTATAAGACCTAGAAGAATGTTTCACCAAAAACAATTAAAGACATGCTTTAGGGCCACAGATTAGAGTCACTCACCGTTGGCTTGGTCGCATCACTTTCGGTCCACTACGCCAACTGATCTCTCTTTATGTTGTTAAGTGTCGTCGAATCGTTGGCAACTCATACTGACCCTATGAACGAAAATACTTTTATAAGAAAATTGTTTTATTGTGTTGAAAGCTGATAAGACACTTTCTGATTCAGTGTTACTCATGTCTGGTTTGGGGATGCGTACTCTATCCATCATATTATGCATCTATTTGTTGGCCCGGGGCCTTTGATGTGGGGAACCTGCTCCCAGCTCATCGGGAAGGCTTGGGGGGTAAAACTCTCCCTCTGGGGGCATCTGTTGTCCCTCTTCAGGTGCTCCAGGCTTCATGATTGCAGTGTCAGGCCCTGGACCAGTTGGCGGCTCTTGGGGACAGTGCCTG